AACAAACAAACAAACAAACAAACAAACAAACAAACAAACAAACAAACAAACAAACAAACAAACAAACAAACAAACAAACAAACAAACAAACAAACAAACAAACAAACAAACAAACAAACAAACAAACAAACAAACAAACAAACAAACAAACAAACAAACAAACAAACAAACAAACAAACAAACAAACAAACAAACAAACAAACAAACAAACAAACAAACAAACAAACAAACAAACAAACAAACAAACAAACAAACAAACAAACAAACAAACAAACAAACAAACAAACAAACAAACAAACAAACAAACAAACAAACAAACAAACAAACAAACAAACAAACAAACAAACAAACAAACAAACAAACAAACAAACAAACAAACAAATAAATAAATAAATAAATAAATAAATAAATAAATAAATAAATAAATAAATCGTTCAGTTGTACCACCCTTCTGGTGCCTAGCTGCGATGCCACTCGAAGGAAGCACGAGGGCAGGGGTACTGCCAGGTTGCCCAAGCCTAGACAGGGGAAGTCGAGAGGCGGAGGTCGGATTTGAACCACGGAACTTCCGGTCAGTAAATCCGCGCTCTAACCACTTAAGCCATCCCGCCCACTCATATGAATGATCGGTTTTGTACCTTTAGCAGACGGATCTTTCAGTGGGCTACCAAAAGGAGCTTGAATTTTTCAAAGGCAATTGTGTGACCTAGTCCTTCTTAGTTACTACTTCCACTTCGTCAACCTGGTCAGCTACATTGCCATTATCCGAATATCAAGCTAACGATCACCGCTTGGAAAGCGCATTTCGCGGATACACAATCAACTGAGACCAGTAAACCTGTCACGTCCGCCATCATTGTGATAACGAGAACCTAGACCATAGACAATCTGGGATGGGAGTTCCAGTTACCAGTTAATACAAAGGTATTCTACCACCGTTTATTGCGTAGTCCTGTGGGATTCGTGCGTTCTGTGCTGTTCGGAACACAGTACAGATACGTCCAGGGGTACGACGGAATTAAATACAAAACGTATGAGTAGAATTCATCATTTCCAGTGACAGCAAAACATTTTGAACGCAACTAGCCAGTAGACATACACTTCGGGTATATCGGAATCGCTTCCCGGAGCATTTTGATGAAGTCAGGAGGAGCTAACGGCACCAATCACATCGGTTTCATGGGTTCGGTTCAGTTCAACATTACGATCGTGATCCATGTGTAAGGACTACTACCATGCGGCATATATCTCAGTTAAGAGTAAAAGAGTATTTACAACAAAGGCCTAACATCGCCATGTCAACAAATCTCCCGATAGTATGCAGCAGTACGGCTAAGTTACGCTTTTCGCGTTGTGCTTATGTCACGGCGTTATCTATCTTGTAGTATTGGCCCACCGGAACCTGATTCAGAAAAAATAGTATGTCGAGAAAATTAGTCACCGTGGTACGGTACACATCGTCAAGCTGACGCCACTGTCCTGTTTAAAATGGTCCTACCGCAACGCAGGACACTTCAAAGAATGAGTTGATTCCAGTTAAAACCGAAGCTGAACTACTAGGCCAACAGGTGGTTTCGCGGAAGAGGGGCAGAAGGTGGAACAAAAACTGCGCCTGCTCGGACAGCCCCTGAAAGTCCACATGGCATCTTTTGATGCGTAAACGTGTGAAGGAGAACAGATCGGTGAACCGAGTCCAATGCGTCATGGAAATCCGGGAATATTTAAATCATAGGTCGTTTGTACGTTTGGCGTTGTTTTAGCACCCAACGGAGTGTGAAGATTCGGTCAACGCAACTCCTACCAGGCCAGAACCCCACTTACTACTCTTAGTCAGTGTTTCACCAGCCGCAATAAGGCGAAGCGCATGTGACTCCAACAGACTCGTTACAACCTTGGTCAAGCTGACCCGGCACTGGTTACCACACTGACTACAAGCCCTTTTTTGAAAATAGACACTATTACCGACTCTCCTCAGTTTTCTGGAACAGTCTCCTTGTACTAAATGCAGGCAAACAGATCAGGCAAGCGCTGACTGGGGACTTCACCCTCATCTTTGAAAAATTCGGGTAGGAGGTCATCCGGAACAGAAGCTCAGTGGCGCCTGAGAGGACATATGCAATCATAAACCTCCAAGGCAGTAGAGGGTTCCATGTTCACCGCCCAGGCTTTCGCCTCAGTTGTAGGCTCCGGTTGAGTGGTAGCTGGTAGTCACGACAATGACTGTTCGAATTATTCGGCCTTCTGGTCGAGGCGTTCTTTATACAAGATGGTAACTCCATTCCGACTCTTGATTATTCGCTCACAGAAGGCCTCCGGAGGACGGCCGCGAGGATGAACTGAAATAATTTTCAGGAATTCTCGTCTTTCTGGGTCTCTTTTATTCCCTTAGCTTTCCGAGTTCACAAGACTTCACAGTCGGTTCGTACACGTTCGGATATTTATCCTGAGACTTAGGCAGTGCCGCTGTTCGGTCTGATATCCGTTGCTTGAGTGGGCTTCCTGGCGCCATGCCAAAGGCAAAAGTTCCAGCACTGTGCAAAGAGGTGGCGGGCTCGTCCCAAAAGCCTAACTGCAATGTGGCGATGGTTAGCATAAGACTGTCACAGTAGCTTGCAGTTTTAAGAAGCAGACGAATCTTACCAGATCCAAATTTTGCTTGCTGTCCTCGAGTTAATACTTCGCGGGTCACCATACGGCAACCAAGGACAAGTGACGTCAAATGTTTCGTTACGACTCAAGGCAAATTGATCACTTTGTGATAACCCCCATTAACTACGGGCCGCTTTCTTGTAAACAAGCACCATTACTGAGTTTCTCCAGTTGACTGAAACACTCTTCTTTGCTCAAATGCAGGCAAATAAATCAAACACTGACTGAGGACTCTGCTTCCATCTTTAAACAATGCGAGTGGGAGGATATCAGTGGCGCTTGAATGTATGCAGTCATAAAGCTTCTAGGCCGCGGAGTTTTCAAACTCATCTTTTAGGGTTATAGTGCGGTTCGATAATCCAAATAAGCTGTATTAAGTGCCGCACCATGTGGTCGAGAAGTTCTTTTTTGTTAGAGATCGTCGCGGCAGTTTGATTCCTGATTGTTTCTCTCACAGGCTATTTTCGGTAGCCGGTAAAAGGGTTAGGTGAATAAGTTAGAGCATTCTACAATTCGCCTCCTACAATTCCTTCACATTCCGTATCCACCAAGCTCCGCGGTCGAGCTTACGCCAAGTTTCACCTGACGGCAGACAACTCTCCGGGTTGGATAGTGTTTGAAACCAGTGAGCACACATTCGAGATTCAAGCGACCACTGATCTAGCTCCGCGGTCGAGCTTACGCCAAGTTTCACCTGACGGCAGACAACTCTCCGGGTTGGATAGTGTTTGAAACCAGTGAGCACACATCCGAGATTCAAGCGACCACTGATCTGTTTGATCCGTCACGAAGAGACTGGACCTTACCGTGGTATGACGGCTTGTGTACCTCGGTGACCCACTGAGCTATACTGGGGAGTGTCCGCACGATGCTCACAGAGTCTCTCATACCAGGTTGGTCAATGGTTAGAGGTCCGACGAACACAGTCTCCTGGCCCTCTAGATTTGGGATTGGAACATGTATGGCGACGTATTCGGTAAAAAAAAATGGTAATGTATTTGCATTTCCAGCCGAACACCGCTGCCTTGCGGTTAGGCTTTTGAGCCAAAGGCTTTGGTTGAGGACCCTAATCGTCCTTCTATCTGGGTGTGGGCGACCTGGCAGTATCCCAGCCCACGTACAACCATGAATTGCACACACACAAATAAACTCATGCCACATCGGCCGTCGAGTGGTGACATCAGCCGGGTCGTCTTACGTGCTGCATACAGCAAGGCGGGTAAGCGAAAACATGCTACTGCTGACGATGGTTGTACGGCAGTGAAGCATCAGTGGCAACGCTGATATTGCTGTCTTTGATGATGATGATCTGTTTGATATCTAGTGCTTTAGTGAAGCTGGTGGTACTGAGCCACAGGCGAAACTCTCCGTATTGTGCAAAGATGTGGCGATCTTGTTCCAATACCATTTGACTCCCGACAGTAGAGCCGTTGAAAGAGGGTCAGGGAGATGGTCATGATAAATCCGTTTAGCTACAGGACCTGCTGGCATTTTGGTCGATACGCAAGTTGTCTGTATTTTGTGCATCCTCAAAAAGTGACCAGCGGAGCGACTCCAGACGTGTGCACCGTCAAAATCCATGCGTGTTCGAAAAGTAGCTCAAGTCAGTTTTTGGCCCACGCCGGCGGTGAATGACAACGGTGTGTTTAATTTGGACCCATGATAAGGGCGCTGTTGGACAGGACCACCTGAACACAGGATATCGGTCATCTACGGTTAGAACATAGTTGAAGCAGTCATTTGCCATTGTCTGTAAGGCCTCAGTCAAATCCAAGCCGATCACAAAACTGAATCGCAGATGCTGTAAGTCTGCCCACTGGTGTACTAGGAGTCCCGGAAACTTCAATGACAGCTGAGCTTTTGTCCCACCGTAACATGGCACACACTGTACCATAAAAGTTGTCTTTGATGGCCTCACCGTTATAGTCTATTGAAGTGTAAGCAAACAACGATCGACCTTCCGCTTTGGAGATTCCTTCATGGATGTTGCAAGATGAACCCCACGGATGCGACTGAGAGCAGATATCCACTCAAGCAAGGACTTTCCTTCCGGTAACTTATGACGACCTGACCCCTTTACACCGTCGTGGTGGGCTCTGGATCGCTAGAGATGCACAGTTGGAACCGAGTGGAGTTTGATGAGGCAGTTGGCTTGCAGCTTGAATTCTGGTTTCTGACACAGCACACATTAATGTCAAGCGACTTCAGTGTACGAGCAAGAGAAGCCTGTTGTTCTGCTTGGTTCGGAGTGAGAGATCCCTGAGGCTGTCGGCACCTGTCTATCTTATCACACGGGATTTATATCAGTATCGACGGCCTGCGCACAGCCTCACATTTGGCCTCGCATGAATCGCTTGTGGTTTACCTAATATGCGCCAGTGTCCAATAAATCAACCAGTGTTAACCACTGCTATCGATCACTACTGTTATACCGCGGGAAGACAGCTTCGGTAACAATACGACTATCAATTTACCGCCCGATTATCCATTCCAACCTAAATCCTGACACAATCGGCATCCACCATAGAGCAATCTCACGTCAATTAATCTGGGGGAAGTGCGGTATTTAACAGAGATTTGGAGGAGTCAATGGGTGAGACAAGCTCCTTGGTGTATACCCATTGTTGCGCCGTCTGTGAATAAGCCATCTGGTGCCTCTCAATAGGACCCTGCATGCTCACCCGCTAAATTTGATCATCCGAGCTTACATTGGTATCGGCGGCTTGCATGTAGCATTACATTCGGCTCCGCGCTAACAACTTGTGATTTACCACGATATATTGTCCATTTTTCAAATGAAACGGACATAAGGTTTATGCGCGAGCAGTACCCGAAATGATGCATCTCCTAAGGAGAAATCACAAAAACGTTGGGTGCAACATAATGGAAGAGCAATAGATTTGAGTTGCCGGTATACTTCATCCACAAAAAGCTGACAGCAGCTTCTCTCACCTGGAGACTTATATACACATCCGGTAAATGTGGCAGCAGTCACCGTATTGATTTCATCATCGGCTCCACCACGGAGTTTGTGAATCAGGAAGTCAGATAAGGCGTATATCAACCCGATGCTGCCGGCTGTTTGGGCAAGCGTCCCACCCGATTTTGTAACATGATTGAGTAGCTGTGTGCGTTTGATGGCTACCGTTGGTAACTTTTTTATTTCTGCATCACTCAATCCAGCATAAAGTCCTCGAATTCCGCCTAAAGTGGCTCCTGGACGAAGAGCCATTGGAACTGGAAGTAGGAACTCACCTCCAATGACCATGGCGCCAATCTCTGAGAAGGATCGTTCAAAACGCCCACGATGTTTTTCACCCTCTGGAAATATGAACTGCTCACCTGAATTCTGTATGTGGTAAAAAACCGTCGGTGCAAAATGTAAATTGTACTTACCGATACAAGAAGAGACGGGTCGAAATTGAGGAAAGGTGAGACCAGTAGGTTGGCGTCTGGAAGGTATAGATATAAATGAACAAGCCTTACCATTACGGTCAGTAGTAGCCATAGTCAGTGAACTTAAATGTTCCCAGTCCACACAAGCAGGGTGTGCAACCAAGGGGCTGAAAAGGGTAGGAAAAGCACAAACATATAAGGCCACAATGCCACAAACTCGATTTTTTTCCAACGAGCCAAACAACAGCGTATTACTTCACAGTAATCCGGAAGCATATATTTGTTTCCCATGAATTCAATAGTTCGGTTATTGATCAGTTAGGGACCTTACGTCAAAGCTACGTTGCTTCAGGCTGCCACACTTTCGATAACTGAGAGACCAGACAATGAGATAGGTACAGAGAGGGACAGAGAAAAAGAGTATGTGGGGGAGAGTACCTAGTATGCCTCTGAAATCAGTACATTTCGGAGATCTTTTAACCATATGACCAAGCAAAGTATATATTTCTTGGAGTCTTAGTAAAGTCCTGAAGGCTTTTTGCGTCAAAGTCAGCTGGCCTACGCGGACGTCACATTATCACCATAATCATCAAAGAGAGCAACATCAGTGTTGACACTGATGCATCACTGCCGTACAACACTCGTTTCGGTAGATGCTGTTTCGGCATGCGTAGCACATGACCGAGCCATCGGAGTCAGCGGTGCAGGATGTTTTCCCGGATTGAATTACAATCAAATACCCGTTTTCTAATCACCTCGTTACTAACACGCTGACGCCATCCACAACCAGCCACGCTTCTGAGGCACCGGTGGTCGAAAACCTGAAGACGCCTCACATCATGTCCTCAGGGGCCATGTCTCACACCCATACAACAACACAGCCCTTACTGTAGCCTGGTACACACGAAATTTAGGATGCAATGGGATGCCTTTTTGACGCCACAAGTGACGCATATTAGCAAACGCAATTCGAGCCTTTGAGATTCTTGCACTGACTTCATCAGACACACTTCAGTCAGAGCTAATACAACTTCCGAGGTGTGTAAAGCTTTCCACAATCTCCAGAGATTCTCCTTGAATTGTAAGGAGTATGATCGCAGACGGCACGTTCGAAACATGACTTTGCACTTTGAAGTTGCAAGGCACATGCAAAAAGATGATATGATGGTGGTCAGTTTATTCAACAGGGCTTGTGCTTCGCTTTGGTCTTAGAAAATGAGGGCGATGTCATCTGCGTACTTCAG